ATGCTGTTTTTGGCAGCTGCTCATCCTTTGAAAAACCTGCCATGAGAGCCAGCGTCACATGGCAGCTTCTACTGCCTTGCAGTTCCAGACAGACGATTACTAAATTTATTTTCTTGTTTCTTGACAGTTAAGGTAAATCTCTGCAAACATCCATTTTAATCTACTAATGAGTGTGTGTGGCTCTAACAGGTCTCTCTGAAACCARCAGAAGTGTTTACAGAATTCCCAGCATTTACAAGCTGTTCCTGAATTCAGTTTCTTGAACTGTGTATTTGATGTAGCGATTGTGCCTCGGCCTGTCAATATTGAGAATTGTGTGTGGAGAAAGCTGTCAACCTACTGAACATCAAAAATTCAAATAATTTTCTACCTTGGGTAAGCAGCCTGTTCTTTAGCTTCCATCTAACCTTCCTGTTGCATAGTWTTTCACTGAACATAATCATAACTGAATGAGGATTTAGACTGCTAGGGAGGATATGAAGATTCACACAACTCTGMAAATCTCTGTGGGAGTGTTGAGGGCAAGTATTGTGTATCTTAATTTTGCAGTGCAAAATSATTTTGGAGAGTGAATTTAAAATGGAGATTTCGGATGTAACACACACACAAACCTAAATACAGAGTGTACACCCACAGACACCTCGATGGAGGTAATAAATGTTTCAATTTCATTTTTTTGGTTACTGTATCAATTACTGGAATTACTTGCAGCTTTGGAAACTGAAGGGTTTTTGCTTGCTTGACTTTCCCTTCTTCCCACTGTTGACTCCAAGGAAGCATGATTGAGTTGGTCTTTGTGACTGTTGAAGCAGAGCTTGGGTGACATCTCTCAGGTACAATGTGCTGCTGTTTTGTAAAAGAGATGTTGAGTATCTGGTTTTTCTCTTCTAGRGAAGCTGACCCAAATTGAGCCTTCATAATGGAAKTTTCAGATACCCAGTACAGTGGCAATAGCTAGGAATTAATTTGCTAAAWTCTTGGCTTCCCAGGTGCTGTGACAAATGTCGAGATGGTTTTAACAAAATAATCCCCCTCATCAGTGCAAGAACCATAAACACTGAGTAGGAGAAGTTTTAAATCGAACATACTGTCTTTCTGCAAACRATGCCTTTTGTAACTTGAATCTATTGGAAAATGATCAGTATTGGGCACTGGGTGTCAGTGGGACCCTCATGCAGATGTGGTGCTTAGGGCTAAAGTGCTTAGGGTAAAGGTCCAATTCTTGGGAAGTTTGGACATAGACGGTTTTACACACATATAACTTGCAAAACTTATTATTCTGTTCCTGCCCACTCTCCACCCCCCACGCATAGTTTTTATGCAGCTGCCATTTGTTTCTCATTTATATCTTTACAGCTGCCAGTGTGCTCTACCCTCACACCACCTTGTACGTGCCATCCTGAGGGGATGGATCACTGCAAAATCAGATTAAGGGGAGAGGCTCACAGAGATACTGTGAAGACACCAATCGATCTGTGGCACCTACCCTGTTATCACCCTCCAAAGTACCTCTGACTTCCTTTTTTTTTTTTT